TTGTGACACAGGATCTAATTAGTGGCACTTGTCAGCGTATCCACTGTTAGCGTAACACACCCGCTTTAAGGACACTGACTGCTATTCAATCTATAACAGTAAAAAAAGTTTTTTGTTTTTAAATCCAAGCTATTGTGACACAGGATCTACTTAGTGGCACTTGTCAGCGTATCCACTGTTAGCGTAACACACCCGCTTTAAGGACACTGACTGCTATTCAATCTATAACAGTGAAAAAAGATTATTTTTTTTTTAAATCCAAACTATTGTGACACCAGATCTAATTAGTGGCACTTGTCAGCGTATCCACTGTTAGCGTAACACACCCGCTTAAGGGACACTGACTGCTATTCAATCTATAACAGTAAAAAAAGTTTTTTGTTTTTAAATCCAAGCTATTGTGACACAGGATCTAATTAGTGGCACTTGTCAGCGTATCCACTGTTAGCGTAACACACCCGCTTTAAGGACACTGACTGCTATTCAATCTATAACAGTAAAAAAAGTTTTTTGTTTTTAAATCCAAGCTATTGTGGACACCAGATCTAATTACAGGCACTTGTCAAAGGTATCCACTGTTGGGGCCAACACACCCTCGCTAAGGACACTGACTGCTATTCAATCTATAACAGTAAAAAAAGTTTTTTGTTTTAAATCCAAACTATTGTGACACCAGATCTAATTAGTGGCACTGGTCAGCGTATCCACTGATAGCGTAACACACCCGCTTTAAGGACACTGACTGCTATTCAATCTATAACAGTGAAAAAAGTTTTTTGTTTCTTTAAATCCAAGCTATTGTGACACCAGATCTAATTAGTGGCACTGGTCAGCGTATCCACTGTTAGCGTAACACACCCGCTTTAAGGACACTGACTGCTATTCAATCTATAACAGTGAAAAAAGTGTTTTGTTTTTTTAAATCCAAGCTTTGTGTCACCAGATCTAATTGGTGGCACTGGTCACCGTATCCACTGTTAGCGTAACACACCCGCTTTAAGGACACCGACTGCTATTCAATCTATAACAGTGAAAAAAGATTATTTTTTTTTTTAAATTCAAGCTATTGTGACACCAGATCTAATTAGTGGCACTGGTCAGCGTATCCACTGTTAGCGTAACACACCCGCTTTAAGGACACTGACTGCTATTCAATCTATAACAGTGAAAAAAGTTTTTTGTTTTTAAATCCAAGCTATTGTGACACCAGATGTAATTGGTGGCACTGACTGGGGAAATGGGCACAGTATGCACTGTGAGCCTGACACAGAAGCTGGCAGCAGTGACAGACAACTAAGTGCAATTACATTACATAGAAAAAAAAAATAAAAAAAAAAGCATACCCTTATCCCTAACCTAGCTATGCTTTTCCCTATCTTATGAACAGCAGCTACACTTTCCCTCCTCTTACTAAGCATGCAGCTTGAGAATGAATCTAAAATGGATGCCGTCCAGTAGGTGGGAGGGTCTGCTAGGGAGGCTGTGCTGCTAATTGGCTGGAATGTGTCTGCTGACTGTGAGGTACAGGGTCAAAGTTTACTCAATGATGACGAATAGGGGGCGGGTCGAACCGCGCATATGTTCGCCCGCCGTGGCGAACACGAACATGCTATGTTCGCCGCGAACCGTTCGGTACATCACTATTTGCAAGTCAACATACCCTGCATACCCTGCACCCCCAGACAGAACATGTACAGTCTCTCACTACCAAATTTCTATCGACTCCATCTAACTACAGTCTCCGGCAAAGCAAAACAATCACTCTCCGCTGAAGTTACTGATGTAGAACTGGCAGCAGCTTTAGGCTCTCTTAACCCCTTAAGGACTGGACTGTTTTTGCGATGTTGTACATTTGCGACCAGGCATATTTTTACACTTTTGTGGTGTTTGTGTTTGGCTGTAATTTTCCTCTTTCTCATTTACTGTTCCCATACAAATTATATATTGTTTTTTTTCAGGACAAAAGGGGCTTTCTTTACATACCATTATTTATATAATCTCATGTATTTTAATTTAAAAAAATTAAAAAATATGATGAAAAATTTAAAAAAATACATGTTTTTTGACTTTTACTTGAAAAATCTTTTACTCATCTACAAAAGTGAATGAAAAAAACTGCTAAATAGATTCAAAATTTTGTCCTGAGTTTAAAAATACCCAGTGTTTACGTGCTTTTTTGCTTTTTTTGCATGTTATAGGGCTATAGGTACAAGTAGGATATTGCGGTTTCAAAACATACATTTTTAAAATGTATCAATAGTGACATTATAACACTATTATCTGTCATAAATCTCTGAATAACACCCCACATGTACATATTTTTTTTAAAGTAGACAACCCAGGGTATTCAATATGGGGTATGTCCAGTCTTTTTTAGTAGCCACTTAGTCGAAAAACACTGGCCAAAGTAAGCATTCATATTTGTTTGTGTGTGAAAAAAGTAAAAAAACTAAATTGAACGCTAATTTTGGCCAGTGTTTGTGACCAAGTGGTTACTAAAAAAGACTGGACATACCCCATTTGCAATACCTTGGGTTGTCTTCTTTTGCAAATGGTATGCTATCATGGGGGTAATTCTCATTCCTGTGCTACCATACGCTCTCAAAGGCAACGTAACCAACCTGGCCATTTTCAATGTAAAAATAATTGACCCATATATTTGACCCTGTAACTTTCAAAAATGCTATAAAACCTGTACATGGGGGGTACTGTTTTACTCGGGAGACATCGCTGAACACAAATATTAGTGTTTAAAACTGGAAAACGTATCGCAACAATTATATCATCAGTAAAAGTGCTGTTTGTGTGTGAAAAATGCAAAAAAAGTAACTTTCACTGACAATATCATCACTGTGATATGTTTTACTGTTTTGAATCACTAATATTTGTGTTCAGCGAAGTCTCCCGAGTAAAACAGTACCCCCATGTACAGGTTTTAGGGTGTCTTAGAACCTTACAGGGTAAAATACAGTGCTAGCAAATTAAATTCTCTGGAATTTCGGCCTGGGTTGGCAGGCAGGTCCCTCAAATTGCAATCAATAAAATTACTGAATTATGTAAAATATTACATAAATACGCACGTAGAATTTAAATATATATGCATATTTATATATTTGAAGTCTACGTGTATATTTATATAATTATTTATGTAATTTTGTATATGGACATATGTATATTTTGTATTATTTTTATTTATTTTTATATACATAGATATATATACAAATTCATTCTAAGTGTATTTTGATATAAATATATATATATTAATTTTAAAATACAGTTAGAATAAAATTTCATATAGATATATAATTTTTTTTAACATTTTTATTATTATTTTTAAAAAAATTATTTAATTTAAATTACTTATTTATATTTTATAATAATATATATATACAATATATATAGTTATTATATATATTATATATATATACACGTGTGTAATTTAATTATAAGTGTATTTTTATATTAATATAAGTACATATTAATATAAAAATACACTTAGTATGACATTATATATATATATGATATATAGACATATATTATATAGATATAATATATGTCTATATATCATATATACACCTATATAATTATTATTATTTTTTTATTAACATTAACTTTATTTTATTTTTTTGATTTTACACTAGCAGGGAGACTGCCTGTCAGCACAGACAGTCCCCCTGCAGGCAGACACATGGACACCTATTGTGACCATGTGATCGCTGTGTTAAGCGATCACATGGCCACAGGGGTCCTAAATCAGTGTGGGGAGACTGTCTGGGCTGCAGGCAGTCTCCCCACAACCGGAGCCACGCTGATCGCCGCCGGGGGAACGACGGCGATCAGGTAAGTAACTCAGACTGTTAGGACGGTTCAGGACCGTCATCGGTCTGCAAGCCAAAAAATGGTCGGGAAGGGGTTAAACTCAATAAATGCCCCACCTCCTGTAGAAGTGTGGAAGCCAATCCTTGCTGTTTGAGCCTTTTGAGAAACGGCATTTGGGCTAATATACAGATGGTATTGTGAACCTCTATCTGGGGACTACATTAGGAGCGTACCTAGAGCATTTGGTACCCGAGGCATTGTTTAGTGGGTAACTCCCTTATTTGTTATCCTTATGTGGGATAACAATATTTAAGGACACCAAATAAGGGAACTATCTATTAAACACATACACCTTTATATGCACACAGAATCACAGATATACACACACACAGACGTATGTGTTTATATCTGTGGCTGTATGTGTATATATATATGTATATATATATATAAAATACACACAATAAGAGACGCACATAACCACAGACACACACCACACAATCACAGACCCACACATACAATCACAGACCCACATATTCAATCACATACATAAACCAGTGGCGGATCCGAGGGGGTGGGGGGGCAATGGGGCAATTGCCTCCCCCCACCTCTGAGAGTCTATGCTATCCAAGCGCTGGCCCTACTATGTGCCTTCACGAACCTGTGAAAGAGATCAGAGATATCCCTCATCGGTCCTCAGGCACTTTACAGGCACCGGGCAGGGTGGGAGAAAGGATCCAGGAGCTAGCAGCTACTCCTGGTCCTCCTCTCGCGAGCACGGAGCATTGCCACGGTTACCATGGCAACCCTCTGGATCTCGCAAACGTAAACTCTTGCCCAGAAGGCTAGAGTTCACACTCACAACGGGGACCACCAGGGATTCTTCACTGGACCACCAGGGATTGAGAATGATCTCCCCTCCCCAGCAAAGGTAAGAAGGGAGGGGGATCTAAAGATAAATAATTTTAATTAAAAACAAACAAACACATATATAGATATATTGTTTAATCTGTCCCCCCCTGCCCCACACACAATTTTCACATTCATCTGCCCCCCCGCCC